CCCTCCAGTGACAGGAGATGCCCCTATTTAAGAGAGCTAGCGTAAGGAAATTCCGGTGCTAGGTGGTTTAGGTAGACGATCACCCAAAGTTTATCCAAGCCTGACCCGTTGCGTGAGATATCTTTGAAAGTGGGCTCCACAACGCGCAAGATGTCTAGGAGGTAGTCAGCATAATTGGGCGGGCATAAAGTGAACGGAAGCCCAATCATTTACTGCGTTTAGACACAACTAGTCGTGCCCCAGGCGATCGTAAAAACCCGTAAACGGCTCCCACAATTATGAGGCAGTAATAAGGACTTTCGGGGGTTTATCCAGAAAGCTTTACGCGGCAATGAGCTCGGACGGCGCTTGTATATAGGTTACCGAGATACGTTAATCATAGAGGAAAATCAAACCTATATCATAAAGGCCAACTTTTCGCTGTTTTCAGGAGCTGTGTCGCCTTGACTAATGCGCCTTTTTCATTAATGGGCTTTAGCCACATAATTATTAGATGACAACGGAAAAGGGTGCACCAATGAGAAAGGCTCAATAGTCCGAGTAACTCCGCCTAGCTCGGAATATACGTCGCTTCTTCATAACTTTTCCGTAGATCTATCGTACAGCACGCCTCTTCCATTTTCGCTTCCCGTTTCACTTGTGCACTAGCGCCGCAGCTTTTCTCCTCTTTTGACCAATTTGGGTAATACCAGAGTTATAATACATCGCGCTTTTGGGTACACCTATGACGTGAGATACATCGCCGTGACATACATTACGGGAGAATCGTGTTCACTGAATTATTTCTATCATATTTAGACAGACTTTTTCCAGGTACCTCGAGCAGATGCCTGCGCTGCATGTCAAGCTCCTCTGAAAACTCCAGAAGATTTCGAGAAACACACCAGAATGCACACCACTGATCTTTATATGCACTGTGCAGTTTGCAGGTATAGCCCCCACAAATGCTAGGAGAGTTCCTTATGGCACAGATTGGCCCTCAGCTAAATCAGGAACTGCCATACCCTTTCTCATGGTGCGCAAACCTCTACGCCAGGATGGTGAAGAGGGAAGGCGTTCGTGAGCAAAAGTCTACCAAGTAACTGTCTGGTCGCCCCACACTACAGGTGGATCTCACTGTTATCATTTATAATGTCCTTTAAGGCAGCAATACCAGTGAAACCAGCTGTTCTTGCCATTGCCAAATCTCCAGATGCACAGACGATCGGATCAACGAGACGGCGGCAGATGGCCGGCATTTGTGGAAGTATGGACGCGGTGGATTCATGAACATAGCTACAGGGATGACGTCAGCGGATAAAAAAGTGTGTGACGTCATGGGATATTTTTAGGTACTAGTGAATCAATTTCAACTGAACGTCCATTTGATGGAACACGATAATCGTCGCTGTTGTCCCCACTGCTTGCGGCCATTCGCCTTGGCTCAACATCTACTCAGTCACGTAGCCGAGGAACACAATGAGGTGGGCACGACTTTGTGAATTGAGGTGGCCAATTGAAAAATATGGTGCTGAACTCTGAGGGGTGCATTCGGGGAGTTCCCGTGAAAACGAAGGTCCTTCTCATCTTCAAGGTGCTTGAAACTGTCACAGAGTAACGCTACCTGAGATTGGTTTACCTGCCACTGCTCTTCGACCTTTAGGGTCAGGCAGAAGTCCTCGTATCCTTTACGGTGATTCCATTCTTGCACAGATGCCCCACAAACGCCTCCTCGAACATTATCAAAGGATAGAGGATAGAGTCTTGCTCGTTGATCCCTTTTTGGGACGTGGCACGCATTCTAATTCCATTAATCGTAGCGGCTGCGGCTTATTGAATGCTATGTGGCCTATAGAATGACTTGTGAGGGCCAGTCAATGAACAAGCCAGAGTTCTTATCATCCCCAGACAATCAGATCATCCCTGGTACCAATTTACCGTCCTCGGGGTAAAGGGTTTGGTTGAGGCGATCCGGGATTTGGTCTCCGGAGCGTGCGCATTGTAAGCGAGCCACTTGCCACTACACCATTTGCGCTTCTCAAGGTTAAAGGATAAAGGATAAAGTCTTCGCCGTTGATCAATCCCTTTGTGGGATGCGGCACGCATTCTACTTCCATTATAGAATCACTTGCAATCCACCGGAGCCAAAGGGTAGAAGGCTTGGCTGGGCGAGACGTGAAGGCCTGCGTTGGCTCTTGCGGCGGGAGTCGACCCGCCGGATTTTGACACCGGCGCCCGCGCGAGTGGTAAGCTCTGCGAAACTTTCACTTACACCGGCCTCCGCCTACCTTGTAAGGTTATTCAGCTGCAAAAATAAAGACAATCAAAAAACGCATTTCAGGACTCAGTAGGCATGTAATATAGTGATAGTGATGTGGAGACTGAAAAGATTGTCTGCCTAAGGATCCACGTCAAGCGCACGCATACAAAATATGTAGCTAAGGTTCCGCGGCTGGTTGACCCGTCCACAAAGTGGATCTAGCACCCGGCACCCATTTTAGGAGCCTTTTCCCTTCAGTGAACCGTATTCTTAGCACAGCTTCTGTAGGATAAAACAGCGAATACTGGTTTCTGGAATTGATGCACATGTACATGCACTGAAGCGTTTACAATTAGACGTCAAATGTGCGGGGTACTGCTCCAGAAGGATAGGACTAGCTGAGTTTGCCTTTTCCCCCTCTTTCTATCGATCAGTAAGCAGCAAAACCCATAGTGGAGAAGTACCCAGGGTGGGGCAGTAGCGGTGACGCCGCTCAGTGTGAGATCGGTACCCACATGGGTCGACTATATTGTCCATTATTCCATAGCCGCTAAAATGGTACCAAACTGATCTGATAGCAATGATCTGAAATATCGGCTGAAACCTTGAAAATTGAAGGCCCACCAGCATTCAAGAGCCACTACGAGTCGAAATGAAAGTGTGATATGTGGCGTATCCCACTCATCACTGAATGCTTGCTCTTAACAACTTGGTTTTTTTTCAGGAGCAACCACTACATTGTTGTGAGATGTGTGATGAAAGCTTCCGATTTGCCGTTCAACTGGAAAATCATGTACTCAAACATGTGGCTGAGCCAAAAACTGGGTGAGTTTTGCCCCGTGTGAAATTGGACTTCTAGTAGCGCCCCTCGACCTCCCTGAGTTGACCGTACCAGGCATGGGCATTGTCGGGCTGGGCACAGCACATGTAAATACGGTCTCCCTTCATTTTTTTCTACTTCTTATGACCTCCTCTACAAACCAGATGGTGTAGAAAGGAGGAGGGGGGGGGGGTGGAGGTTCGAAGAGCATATGGATGGGTTCCAGAACCTACCACCACCT